TGTCTGCTTGAAAGCGCCGCCTTCATTCGGGCACAAGATGCAGGACTGGCGAAGAATTAGGAAGGCTAGAGCAAATGGCAAAGGGAGTCTTACCACTGGGTTCTCGGGGGATACAGTACATTTCCGACATAACCACTGCCCTTCAGGAATATACGGAACCCCATAACAATCTGCACAATTGATTCAGCTGGTCCGGAAAGGAAGAAACCGATGAGTTTGACCTTGATGAACCGCGAGATTGCAGCCATCGCAGAATACAATAGCGTTGCTGTTCTCGCCCTCAGAATCGTCGCAAATGGCGCAGGTCGAGTCCTCCGAGGGGAGCGCCAAATCGGGTTTGGGGATATGTTTAGTCTTGATATAGATATTGTCGGAAACTAGCCCAGAAGACCGAGAGGTGACGCACCAGGTTAAACCACTCTTTCTCTAGTCGATCCATCACGACCTCGAAGACTTCATATGTAACTTTGTCCAACTGTTCCTTCTTCCGTTCAGTGTTTACCGCATCTAGCCATTCCTGATCTGCCGGGAATTAATGAGTCTGCGAAAGACGCGAAACTAAGCGCGCGCGAATAACACACCCTGTTCGTCCATGTCATATTCAACTTGTCGCTCGAGGTCAATTTCCAGCGGTTCTGCAATGGCATTCAATCCACAAAGCTGCAGTCTGAGGCTCGCGTCCGCGTCTCACCTATATGGCGGATGTACTGGTCGGGCCGCTGGAACTCGGAAAAGTCGTTGTCTACGTGTTTTCGTGAGCTGAGAAGCCACCCAGCCAGCGACGGACGTACAACCAAAACTGCGCGCCTGTGTGTCGTGCACACCACTCGGCTGAGTGGACACATCGTCTTCAATCTTCTGGAAAGAGACTTTGGGCAACGCGGGCGCGGTTGCGACAGGGGAGGCGTGGCCACCGCGAGCCATGGAGCCTCAGGTCGACACAGTTAAAGACGACTAAATTCTTAATTGAAAGAGCTTGTAAATGAACGGGCGAAACAAACGAATATTGTCACTTGTTTATTTCAAAAGCCGTCCGCATCCGGAAAAAATAAAATAATCTACAAATTAACTACAGACGAACGACTAGAGCTCTTCCTCGTTCTTCCCGACATGGGATTCCGACGCAGTGGGGGTCGCACTCGCGTGCGGTTCGGGAGTGGGGGTCGCACTCATAGCGGTGGTCTCCGTGCCTTCAGCTACCTTGGCCGACTCGCTCTCGGGTGTTTTGGCTTTCTTCGCGGGTGGAGGGGAACCAAAGCCATTACTATCGTGGTAGTTCTCAGCGGTTCCATCCATTATGGCCTGCTCAAAGTCGATGAGGTCCGAGAATCCTCCGTGGAGGAGAGCCATCCGCTGGGCCTCCTGCTTCCGTTGGATCTCAAGCTCCTCCTCGGTCGGCTCAAACTCCTCCGCCTTGGCCTCCTCGTTAATCACGGTCAAGTCCGCGGTACCATCGATGACTGAATCGAAAAATTTGCTCAGAGAATCGAACTTATTGATGCCTGAAAAATATGTTGTTAGCATTGAAAAAGGTTCAGGGGACGAAGTCCGAACCTTCATAACGGAACGGCGTGGTCGATCCAGGAGAATAGACAAGGACCTTCGATTCCTTCTTCTCTCCTGCCTCGAATCCCAGGGCCACAGAGGACTTTCCTTTGCGGTCGCGGTGAGTTCCGAACTCCAACTGCCCCCTGTATTTGTTCGCGAGGACCTGCCAAAGGAGCGGTACTTTTTTGTCCTTCGTCAAAAGTAGAGTACGCTTCTGGTCAACCGTCTGTAAAAAGTCAATACAACCGTTTCTATTTGCAGCACTCTACGGCCAACCTTTTCGATCCATGGGATGATATCGTCGGTCTTGTACAGCTTGGTGAATGAGGAAGGTATCCGACGCGTCGCAAAATAGTAGAAAGCACTAGCAGTACGCTCGCCTTCGTAAAGGATGGGGTCGAGGTCCTTCCCCCTTGGGAACACCTGAATCCAGGTTAGCGAGAGTCAGGCTGCAGAATATTCATGTTCACCTTGACGGTAGGGAATCCTTTGACCCCCTGTTCTGCACACAGACGCTTGTTCTGATCCGCATCGCAGTCAACAGCATAGAGGGGGAGCAGTGGGTGAAGCCCCAAAGCGGCCTTGCTGTACTCGGGGGCCATGTTTTTGCAGTGCTGAGAACATATGAGAATAAAAGCTGGCAAAGAAAGCACCCGGTCCTACCCCACACCAAGGAGCGACGAAAGCAACCAGGCTAGTTTGCTACGATGAGATTTAGAATGAATACTACTGCGAACACGAGACACGTACGTTCGTTTTCATAGCTTTTTTCCATGACTTGGCGTCGAGCATCTTGACCAGCGAGTCTGGAGGAAAGACAGCAGCCGAGACGAACGCCGGCACGAGCACGAGCGAGAGCAAAAGCCGAGACGAGAACATAGTTGGGGACAGAGTTGAGTATTGGTCTAAGCAGTATTTATACCCAGGACTTGACCAATCCGAGAAACGGGAACACGTCAGTCACCCCCGGGGCGTGTGACGGATTCAGTCGCGCCGCGTCCTGTACCGGTTCCCGCTCTATACATTCGAGGCATCTCACACACGCGTATATTCCGGTTCCGCACTCCTGGTCTATCCCGTATGCTACCGCAACGCTCTCAGCGCTTTTGTTTCTCGGGACCCATGTCACACCACCGCGTGCCGTTTGCAACTTCCGGCGGCGCCAACAAAAAGATACACGGCTGCTACGTGGAACTCTGCTTTTTTAATAGCCCAGACAGAATACTGGACTTCGGGATCGCTGGAGGACAAAAATATTGATTCAACGGCCTCAGCACATTTCGGAGGCCAGCACTTCAAGTTGACTTCAAACTGACAGTGTTGGCTCACCTCGGAACGATCTCAGTCAACTCTCGGGAATACATGGGTGTTCAATGCAACTTGCTACAATGCCATGGAACGCACTTATGTCTGTCTAAACTGTCGAATCGAGCACGAAGAAGGCGTGGCTCTGATTCCGAGCCTCGAGGCTAGCCCATCACGCACCTGGCGTGCGGACGGCATCCTTATCCTGCTTTAAAAGGCTTTCTCGAATATCGCGCTCGATCAACCACGCTCCCCCGCCCCACCCCCCAGTTACCTCTTCACCGATCATACCATCGTCGTAGGATCGCCACAAAGCCTAGCAGCGCACTCTGATATACTCCACAACCTCAAACAATGCTTCCTGTAACAGACTTCAACTTTGTCGTCTGCGGATTCGCAACCCTCGCGGCCACTGTCGGCTACGCTTGCGCTCGAAAAGCTCGGCCGCTCCCGTCGTATGTGACGAAGATCTCCGCATCGGACTGAGACTTCCCTTCTCGCCAGACGTGCTCTTCCGCAGCTCTTGTCTAGGGCTAATTCGATCTCGGATTCAGCTCCAGACTCATCAAGCAAAATGGTCCTCGAAAAATCGATGGAAGAGCCGGATTCCAACCTGGCCTCCGAACCGGCCTCCGAGCCTACCTCCGAACCGTCGGGAATCGAAACCACCGTCGTCTGCGCAAACAGTTCATTGAAACGGAAGCGCACCCGCGAGCAGGACGAAATCGACGAAACCGACCCTGTACGTCCACTCAGTCTGGAAGGACAATCTGTGTGTTAATTCATTTTAAGGATATGGGATACCCGCACGTTCGTTGCTTTCATGCGGACATTTTACTTCTCTTATTGTTGAAATCCTCCAGAATCTCAAGTCAATCTACCCAAACAAACGCCGAAGTGGTTCTGTTTCGGACGAAGAGCCCACTAAAGGGGTGGTCGGTATCTCGTTAGGTCTTGCCCAGACGGAAATGGTCCCAGAGCCCTGTGATGCTCCGAGCAACGAAGAGCCGTACCCAGTTACCAGGACAGATTCACCCGAACCAGTTTCGCCAGAACCGAAGCCGGATGTCGTCGAACCTACGTCGAATCCGGAACCACCCAAGTCTGAGCCCGTTGTAACGGACGTTCCACGGTTTGCGTTTCCAAAAACGCCTCCGCGTGTCACACAATTCCCTTTCACCGTAAGCTCCTACGCATTCGATCGTTGGAAGGGGACTGACTCGCAGGTACTAGCGGAGCACAATGTCTCCCGCGTTTGCCAATTTCGCCGGATCCTCGTCGCCATTTTTCTCGATGAGTCCGTCAAATGACGGCACCTCTGTTGCCAGCAAACCGATCTGGGCGAGCACCGCTACGGTTGCGGCAGAAGGAACGGGTTCGGATGCAGGTGAATCTGAAGAAAAAGCCGTCTCACCGCCTGCCCTCATTGCCGTGAAGACCCCGACCGCCGCAATACAACCCCGTCAGTGAATTCCATTACATCCCTCAATGCACGCACCTGACCATCGACAGATTCGACTGGCGAGGAGGAAGAAGACATCGCCTTGGAACTCAAAGGCGTCAAACTCTACGTGAAACGTGGAGAGGACAATTTTTCGGGAGGAATGATAGGTCACATTAAGCTCCTCTCCCATAAGACGACCCTCTCAAAACGATTGCGTGCGTTGCGTTGTGCTCCTCTTGAACGCTTATATACTGATAGAAAATACAGTTTTCCGCCGGGAGCCTCTGTGGAAGGTTTCAATGAATGTGCGGATGCAGCCCACGGTGCGATGCACCTACGATGCACAGGAAAACATACTGCGTGTGGCGCTGAAGGAGCTGCCGGACAAGTGGGAGTCAGAGTGCACAACGCCGCAGACTGTCATATATGCCTTTAAGGTGGAGTCTTTTGTTCGCGGCGCCAGAGGCAAGATGATTGATTTGAACGAACAGCCCAGTCGATCATGTAGGAGGAGTGATTTCCAAGATTTTGCAGAGGCTTTGCTCGCGCAGGCGCGACAAGGTGGTCAGTCATAGAGTACCTCCTATGAGTCCTGTATGATATGTACCATGTTTTTATATGCGAGGATTTCTTGAAAATTAGATATGGTTTTTGTACTGGAGAAAAGTGCGTGCAAAATGAAAGAAGGGGAGTCGAAAAAGAACTCTCGACCTGGGAGTCGAACCCAGCTTTCGCGCGACCGCATTAGCTCAGACAACTCCAATGACAGGCGCGTGTACTAAACCGATATACTAGTCGAGACGTGTTTGAAGTTGAATTTAATGGGATACAAGTGGCGACAATCTGACCAGATCAAACCTTCGCGTTATCCTGACCCAACTCAATCCTTGACTCTCACCTGCGAAAATGGGGTACTCGTCGAGATGGGACCAGCGTCCCCAAGAAGAACAGCCCTCCAAATCTCGAGCTGGTGAGATACACCGACCATTAAGACTCAAGCCAATGGGACTCATCTTTTCCTTTTGCTGACATCCTAATTTCTGCTCACCTCGGTGTACACCATGGCTTACACGGCGTATAAAAGAACGATCTTTGTCGCCAGTTTCTGCGAGGCACATTCCAGACGACCATTCCCGTCACCGTGAACATGGCCGCTCTTCCCGGTACTCTGACTCTGCATCGCGCTCCCATACTTCTCGCCACGATGGAAAGGCCAGGGACCGCGACGAGCGAGACCGGTCGCCAGAACGGGTGGAGGTTCGTTCGTCGTCGTTTGATTCAGCCGTTCCTGAGTTTAGGTTTTTGTTCAGGCTAGACGCCCTCGTAGAGATGCGAGTTCGGAATCAGACTCTCGTTCGCGATACGAGGAAAAACATTCCGTGCGTCGCCCCCCTCGGTCTCTTTGGCACCCGTCTCAAATGGATTTCTTCTGATAGAGCAAACGGAGGAGGAGCCCCAGCCCGCGTAGGGAAAGAGAAGAAACTGAATCCGTCAGTGTCTTTTAATATCCGGGAAGCTTGCACTATATCTTAAGCCGACAGCGCCGCCGCAATCGCACATTGAGCCCGAGTCCCCCTCGAGAACGGCGCCGGGCCGATTCTGTGGTACGACTGTCCTCAAATTACTACGGAAATAACGGGTTTTGACCTCGGAAGGTGCTGCTATGCAATTCATAACTCTCGACGACCTTTAGGACAGAGACGAGTATTCTCGTGACAAGGACTACGCGGGTTCCTCGACATCCCACCGGAAAAGCAGCAAAAGACGTAGCCGGGACAAGGATGACGATGACGAGGAGGATAGAAAGCGACGAAAGCGGAGAAAGGAGCGAGAGCGTTCAAAAGAGAAGGACAAGGAAGAGAGAAGGAGCATACTGACTGGGAAAAAGGTAATGCTTTCTCTCTCCACTGTCACACGAGTGCTCAATTTCGCCCACAGATTAAACTCAAGGTCAAAAAGGAAAAGGGCGACGAGGTACAGTACAGCAATTCCCAACAGGCATTGTGCTAACCTCGTTGTAAGGAACGCGACGCCAACCGGCAGGATCTGTTGCGATTCTTAAACTCGATGTAAATTCGTTGACTCATTTCAGCCTCGAGGACAGTTGTTCGTATACTGTAGATGTAATTCGTCGGTTGTAGCAGAGACTCTTTAAATGCGAACGTTTCGCTGTTCGGAATCAAATTGAAATGGGAAACAGAACCAAACTTTTCTCAGTGCCGTGACGACGCGCCGTCCAACGGCTACTTTACGCGTTTTCTCAACGCCCATCCTCTTCCTCTTCTGACCGCCGTGTGCAAGGTCGTCACAATGGACACCGACCTCATCAAGCTAGTGAATAAGCTCCAAGATACCTTCAATAACCTGGGTGCGCGCGCACTTTTTTTTGCCGTGGTGGAGTATTCAATATTCTTGTTTACAGGAGGGGAGCTGGACATGCCACAGCTCGTAGTTGTGAGTCGACTTGAAGCAGTTGGAACCCAACGCTCAGACTGAGCTGTTACTAGGTGGGCAGTCAATCAGCCGGAAAGTCTAGTGTTCTCGAGACGTGAGTGGCCAGCCGCCATTCTCTCATTCCTTTTTTCATTTCTTTTGTGCACAGTATCGTTGGACGAGACTTTCTTCCCCGTGGCCAGGGCATCGTTACGCGCCGGCCCCTGGTCCTCCAGTTAATACACACGCCCGAATCGAGCGATGCATCTCCCAGCAGTCCGACATTTCGGGAATGGGCGCAATTTCTCCACATAGACAAAAAGTTCACCGACTTTGGCGAGATTCGCAAAGAGATCGAGCAGGAGACTTTCCGAGTGGCGGGGCAAAACAAGGGTGTTAGCAAGTTGCCTATATCGCTCCGAATTTACAGCCCAGACGTGCTGGACTTGACCCTCGTCGATTTACCTGGCTTGACCAAAGTGTGTCTTTGAGCGTGTCATCCTCTTTCAAATATTAACATGCTACAAGATTCCTGTTGGAGATCAACCAAGTGATATTGAACGCCAAATTCGCAATCTGGTGCTGGATTATATTTCCAAACCAAACAGGTGCGTGCCTGCAGCTCGCACCGACGTGAAATGTTGACGCGTTGACATACAGCGTGATCCTTTCTGTATCCCCGGCCAATGTGGATTTGGCCAATTCAGAGTCTCTCAAGCTCGCCCGTCAAGTAGACCCGCAGGGCCGGCGGACAATTGGCGTTCTAACGAAGCTGGACTTGATGGATGCTGGGACCAATGCTTTGGACATTTTAACCGGCCGCGTTTACCCGCTCAAGCTTGGATTTATCGGTGTTGTAAATCGCAGTCAGCAAGACATCAATGGGGAGAAGAGCATGGAAGCAGCGTTGCAAAGCGAAACCGAGTTCTTCAAGAACCACCCCGCATATCGAAATATTGCTCACAAGAACGGGACAAAATACTTGGCTAAATCCTTAAACCAGGTCCGATTCGTCGTTTTGTACTCGAGGAAAATGGTGTTTAGTTTTTGTAGGTCCTCATGAACCACATTCGGGACAAGCTTCCAGACATGAAAGCTCGTCTGAACACCTTGATGGGCCAGGCTCAACAGGAGCTCAACTCGTTTGGTGATTCGGACAGCTTTGGAGACCAAAATCAGGTCCGTGTCATTGAAAGACTTGCCTCCCCCGTACTCATCAGTCACTAAAGCAAGGGGCTCTTATTCTGCGTCTAATGACTCAGTTTGCACGCGACTTCGTTTCTTCTATCGAGGGAACGAAGGTCGATATTTCCACAAAAGAGCTCTCGGGTGGGGCCCGGATATACTACATTTTCCATGACATATTCGGACAAGCCCTCGATTCAATCGACTCCACGGCAAACCTCGAAAACCAGGACATCCGGACGGCGATCCGTAACTCCACGGGTCCTCGTCCGAGCCTCTTCGTCCCTGAAATTGCATTCGATCTCCTGGTAAAGCCGCAGATTAAACTGCTGGAAGCCCCGAGTTTGCGCTGTGTAGAACTCGTGTACGAGGAGCTTGTCAAGATCTGTCATAACTGCACTAGCACGGTAGGCGTTTCGCGCGTCTAACTGCCCAGTAACTGAGCATGTCTTCCAGGAATTGCAACGGTTCCCTGGCTTACATGCCAAACTCATCGAAGTCGTTTCCGAGCTGCTCCGGGAGCGACTGGGCCCCACATCCGACTATGCGCAGAGTTTGATCGCAATACAGGCGGCGTACATTAACACCAACCACCCCGCCTTCATCTCCGGATCTGCTGTCGCTGCGCAGCAAGCCAGCTCCCCTCCAGCTCGGCAGATGCCTCTGCGAGTAAGCCACTTTCCCCGTACTCTTTTTCTTTTTATCTAAATGGTTATTCTGCAAGCCTGCATCTACCGAACCTACAAATGGCACTGGGACAGACGAGGATGCGGACTCGTCAGATGAAAACGGTCTTCCTAATGGCATCTTCCCTTCCCGCAATAATGAGCGCTCTGTATCCGCGACATTACATGACCGTGCGCGGACATCGACCGGATCCACCCCTACATTACCTACCACCGCAGTCGTGCCCAGGAAATTCCCAAATCAGCAGCGACCCCATTCTGCCATGGCACAAACCCACCGCGGTTCGCCACCGTCAGCACGGGAGACGTTTTTGAACTACTTCTTCGGTCAGAATGGGCCGGGACCAATTGCAGGGTCGAGTGTAGAACACGGTAGCCACCACCAGAGTCGTCAGAGTGGGAGCGGACCAAGCGTCGGGCCTGTGGGACGCGATGTTTCTGCAGGGGAGGGCTCCAATGCCATTGCAATCGCGTCGGGATTGTCTGGGCAGCGCGACGGCAGCAATGCCGCGTACGATATGAAGAGTCTGGGGAAACATATCGAAGCTGTGAGCAAGTTCTATTGTTTTCATCCGTACCTGACTGACGTGTGCGCATTTCGAAGCTTCCTTCCGACGGGAACCACCTCACCCTTCGAGAAGAGATGGAGACATCTCTCATCCGCTCCCTCATTGCATCTTACTTTGGGATCGTCCGTCAGAGCATCCAGGACCTTGTACCCAAAGCGATCATGCACTTCCTCGTGAACCACACGTCGTATCATGTGCAGAATCGCCTCGTCGCGTCTCTCTACAAACCCGAGTTATTCGCAGAGATGCTCCACGAGGATGAAGGGTTGGTGGCGGAGCGGGCAAGGGTCAAAGCGCTTCTCGATGCGTACAAAGACGCGTTCAAAACCCTATCGGATGTTAATGTCAAGCCCACATAATTTTATGCAACCCACGACTTCATTTCACGCATCCCACGCCTTAATATACATATACGCTACACGCCATGTCGGATATCTAGACAGTCAAAAACGCTTTCCTGCTCTTAGATTCACACAAACGATTCACACAAATGATCAAGGGGGAGAGTAGATGAAGGATCCATCCACGAAGCGATGCCATTCCGTCTAACGTATCACAGGCAGGATAACAACCAAAACACACGAGAACCAGTAGTAGATGTAGATAGCGACAGATATAGCGGCGTGATCCCAAGCACGGGAAGAGGAGCGTGGAGTGAGCAGCCAGTCCAGTCCAAATGAATTTCGAGGCGAGAGGCGCAGTTGTCAAGGAGTGGTCTCTTCAGCGACGGCCGTCGATTCAGACTGGGGCTCTGCAGCGGCTAGTGGGGTCTGCGACTTGACTGCAACCCACTTTTCCTTCTTGGCACCATCCTTTGCAGGCCCGTCCGCCTTGTCTGACTCCTCCTCCTCCGAGGTCACTGATTCTTCGGTGTCAGCTTCCACCCCGGTGGTGTCGGACTCAGAACTGGAGGAGGAGGAGTCATCGG